AAAGCTCCTAGTATATCATTACCAACTTTATTCATATATCACCTTTCCTCCAAGATTGGGACTCAAGGTGGCTTGCTTGCATATTAAAATTATTACATTATAGCTGAAAACATAGAATAGATTAGAATGTAACAGAATTTATCTATTAAAAATACTTAAACACTTAAACACTTTAAACTGATAAAGACTCAAAACTGTAGAAATTAAAATAATAGGGTCTCCATAAACTGGAAATGACTTGAAGACAAACAACATGAGGGCTGGAAACTCTGCAGCTTGGAGTTTCTGCCCTCAGCACTGGTGCAATATGGGTTTTACATTCTGATCTAGGCAACTGTCTAACCACAGCATGCTGCAGTGGCTACAGTTCCTCAAAGGCAGCCCCATGCAATTTAGCATATTACAGTAAGATTTATTTATATATTGCAATTACTTATAGGCCGCTGTTGAAAAGAAACCATAATTCATAAAGCAAATAAATGCTTACACCAGAAGCATTCCAAAAAGGCAGTTGGTGGTGGATGTGGAAATTGAGAATAAAGAGGGAGCAGACTGGATGATCTTTCCTGTTCCTGTCTTCTTCCTCCTGGAATATTTTCCGTAATACAGACAATGGTAGAGCTAGCCTTTTAGAAAGGAAAGTGGGAATCCAGCTCCAGCTCAGTATGCGTTCTTTTCCTACCTCCCTCTCTTCCTCTTTCTATCTCTCTATTCATTCCTTCATATTTGCAATTTATCTATTTGTTTATTTTAAAAATAGGTTCCCAGTGAGCTTGCAGTAAAATAAATGACAACAAAAGACCTATACAGAACTGGAACAAAATCAGACAGTAAGACCAGAAATTAAAAGCAGCATCTTTTAAATTAAAAGCAGGGATAGCAAATAAACAATATTTCCTAATGCAAGAACTCATAAGAGCCAAAATGTCATTTCAAAACTGTCTAAAGAGAATATAAGATTGGATTTTAAAGATGCATTTACTTCAAATGAATAGAATGTACTTCTGTTATGCATTTACTATTTAAAATTTTTAAAACTTAGTCAGAAAAATAAATATCCTATCTTTGGATACAAAAGAAAAATGTCAAGCATATCTAGCTTTACAAAGGCATACATGAGATAAATACCAGAGGTTCCTGCTTTTAAGGCATAGTCATTTTCTTGCATAGACCTTACTGCATTTGTTAAGCTATGAGAGATAAATGATTGGTCCTTAATGTCAAGCCACCTTTTGCCACAGAAAGCAAATGTTGAGCAGCAACTCTCCAAAGAAAGGCCAAGTGACTAAAGTGCACTTTACTCCAGTGCTTAATGTTTAAAGTAAGAAACAGCTGGACTTAATCCTACTTGGCACTTCTTTTTAATGCCAAAGGTCTTGGTCTTTTGGGGGTCATCCTGTGGTCAAGAAAACCAAGAAGGTCAGTCCTTCCTTTGCTCTGCTCTTGTGAAGATCATCCACGCATGGCAAACCAAGCTCTCTCAATTCCAAATGCAGGATGGGAAGATGAGATATTTGTTACAGACCATATGTTGTTTACATGGAACAGTCTTCAGACAGGAAATTTGAAGATAAGAGTTATAATAGAAGAAAGGTATGCTATGAAGAAAATACTATGCTCTAAATCAGTGATTCCCAGCCTTTGGTCCTCCAGGTGTTTGTAACCTCAGCTCCAGAACCCTTGCCAAACTTGGCCAACTGTCAGGAATTCTGGCAGCTGAAGTCCAAAACTCATGGGGGACCAAAGACTGGGAACCATGGCCTCAAATCAAGAACAGGTAACTGTGCTATGGCAGGGAGAATTGTTCTACAAGCCTTTAGAACAGGCATAGACGAACTTTGGCCCCCCCAGGTGTTTTGGACTTCAACTTCCACAATTCCTAACAGCCAGTAGGCTGTTAGGGATTGTGGGAGTTGAAGTCCAAAATACCTGGAGGGCCAAAGTTTGCCCATGCCTGTTCTACAACAGCAACTCCCAAAGTGGGTAATATTGTCCCCTGGGAGATGCTGGAACAATCCAGAGGGCAGTAGTAACCTGGGGTGTGGCTGGGGCTCCTCAATAAACATAAGAAGAAATGAAAAACCATTCGTAGATGTTTCATCTCTTGTGTAACATAGAATTAAAGTTGTAATTGTAACTTTATACATAATGCAAGTTATTGGTGGTCAGGTCCACCAACAGGTCTTAACAAGCAAATGTTGGCAGGTGAGCATATTGCACTTTGTTCGGAACTCCAGCATGCATTGGCAGGAATATGTGCATGTAATGGCTTGACACAGTATGATACCATAAATAGGTGACATGCATGAAATCTAATTTAGATTGGTTCTGAGTTGTGTGAAAACCAGTTAATTCTCATAATAGTGCAAGAACAATAATTATTAATTCATGCTGCTGACAAAAGGAGAGCTGAACATTAACAAATTGGTAGTAGTGCACCAGGTTCATCCTTCACATTTAGGATTATTTTAATGTTATTCATAATTTTTATTTTAATATTATCCTTTGTTATCTTAATTTTCTCTGTTTAATGTCAATGTAATTCATGTTAATTAATAAAGTTATAATTTCAAACTTCACAGTGTCTCATTTACAACATCCTTTGCCATGTTGTAAGACATAGATAGAAATATAGATACATAAAAGAATGCAAATTTGTCACTGGATCTACCCTGTAGAATGAATGTAGATGGAGCCCACTTCCACGGCTTAATGCTATGGAATTAGGATTAATCTACTGAGGATTAATCTACTGTGCTTTATGGTCTAATTATTATGTGTATCACAGATTTTTATTTTTTATATAATTTTCATTAAATATGTTGTGGTTTGTTGATTATGTTTATTTTTATGGTTATGTAATTTTTTTGCCTGTGTGTTGTTCACTGCTTTGAGTTACGCCTTTCATGGGTTGTCAGCTACTCCCCTCCTGACATCCCCGTTGTCTTGGCACTATAAGAGAGCTCTGCAAGACTAGTTGCTCTTGTCTACAATGATGTAGTAACAGTGAGGTCGCAGAGCATATTTTAGTTCTTGCACACCACTGGTGGCCCATGGACCATAGGTTGGGACCACTGGATTAGGTGACCCAGTGGGAGACACCTCAGTTTCCAAAGTTTCCTCTTGCAATCTAGGTCAAATCCCACCACCCCCACTCCCAAGACACACCTTAGGCGGTGTGTAGGGCAACTTGAGTGCTTCCACTATGTGAGCTAATGCTGTTGCAATGTAAATGGGTAGAAAATTAGGTAATGATAGTGTGAATAATCACCATTTGGTGGAGATAGTGCTTGCAGTTCCGGAGGGACTTTAATTTTTGCTTCTCATTGGCTTGGCATGATGTAATAACGGGGAGGCTGTGGGCCATATTTTAATTCTTGCGGACCATTGGTAGTTCATGGACCACAGGTTGGGAACCACTGGATTAGGTGAACCCGTGGGAGACACCATAGTTTCCTCAGTTTTCACTTGCAATCCAGGTCAAATCCCTCCCCTCGCCCCACACTTTAGGCTTTGCCTGCCAGCTGAGGGTAGGGGCACTCGATTGCTTCCACTATGTCAGCTATTGTTGTTGTTGCAATGTTGTTGTTGTTTATTTGTTCTGTAGCTTCCGACTCATCATGACCTCATGGACCAGCCTATGGCAGAGCTCCTTGTCAGCTGTGGCCACCCCTAGCTCCTTCAAAGTCAAGCCAGCCACATCAAGGATACCATCCCTCCATCTTGCCCTTGGTCGGCCCCTCTTCTCTTTTCCTTCCATTTTCCCCAGCATCATTGTCTTCTCCAAGCTTTCCTGTCTTCTGTGGCCAAAGACTTCATTTTTGCGTCTAATATCCTTCCCTCCAATGAGCAATTGGGCTTTATATCCTGGAGGATGGACTGATTTGATCTTCTTGTGGTCAAAAGCACTCTCAGGATTAGACCACGCTCGATCACCCAGTTTGTGCACTTTCTTCTTTCACCTTGGTTAGAAGGCTCCTCAGCTCCTCCTTGCTTTCAGCCATCAAAGTGGTATCATCTGCATATTTAAGGTTGTTAAAATGTTGTCCAGCAATTTTAAGTTGCAATGTAAGTTGGTAGAAAGGCAGGTAATGGTAGTGTGAACAATCAACAATTGGTTGAGAGAGTACTTGCAGTTCTGGAGGGTCTGTAATTGTTGCTTCTCATAGACTTGGCCTGGAGATTTAAAATTCATGAGTAAACCAGGTTGTTGTTGTTTTGTACTTGCAAAATTTTGGAGGTGGGTTGTAGGTTTTTTGGGCTGTATGGCCATGTTCTAGAAGCATTATCTTCTGACGTTTTGCCTGCATCTATGGCAGGCACCCTCAGAGGTTCTGAAGATGTCTGCCATAGATGCAGGCAAAACATCAGGAGATAATGTTTCTAAAACATGGCCATACAGCCCGAAAAACTTACAACCCAGTGTTTCCGGCCATGAAAGCCTTTGACAATACAGTGAACACTTGTCGATTGCTTTTATGGCTGGAATCACTGGGTTGTTGTACGTTTTTCAGGCTGTATGGCCATGTTCTAGAAGCATTCTCTCTCTGTGGCAACCATCCTCAGATGTTGTGAGGTTGTCAGCCTGAAAAAGAAAAAAACAACAACCCATTGAACATCTGAGGGTTCGCCTGCATCTATGGCAGTCATCCTCCAGCAAGAAGGACCACGTGGACTGAATTCAGTCACAGTCCATGAGGGAAGGAGAGGACCAGGGGCCAAGCCTGTAACCAAAGGGAGGGGGGTTTAGGGGTAGTTTGAACCCCTAAACCCCCCTCCCTTTGGTTACAGGCTTGGCCCTTGGTCCTCTCCTTCCCTCATGGACCATGATTGAATTCAATCCGCTTGGTCCTTCTTGCTGGCGTGATCTCCTCTCCCTCTGAGGGGACTTTCTGTGTCTCCTCGAGGTCTCTTCAAGCCCCATCCCTCCTTCCTTCCTTGGCCAGAGGGGGCGGGCCCGAGCCTCCCGCCTTCCCCTTTTCCTTGGGGCGGCCGGTGGGCTCCGCTGTGGGCAGAGGCGGCAGGAGGGAGGGAAAGAAGCAAGGAAAGGCGCGCCCAGGAGGCGGACTGCGCGGCTCCCTCGCCTTCCTCCTCCTCCTCCTCCTCCGTCCGCCGCCGGAGAAGGCGGAGCGGCCACTTCTCCCGCAGCCCTTAGCATCTCGGGGAAGAAACGTCCGCCTCCCGAGAAGCCACGGCCACAAAGGGCTCTTTGTGGAACCAGGCAGGCAGCCACTCTTGGGCGGGCGGCAGAGGCAGAGGCAGCATGGGGCCGGGCAGCGTTGCCGCCTTCTTGGTCTTCCTCAGCCTTGCCTTCGAGGCGGCAGGTAAGAGCGGGCGGGCGGCTGGGGCTCAGGACTCCTCCCCACTGGCGCCTCGGGGCTTCCTCAAGAGGCGAACCTTGCAGTCAGGCCGAAAGCACAAGAACCCAGAATCCGGAGGAGGGCGAGTTGGAAGCCCAGGCTGTTGTGGTCAGGCATGGGCCAACTTGGGGCCCTCCAGGTGTTTGGGACTTCAACTCCCACCGTTCCTAACAGCCCCGGGCTTAAGCGGCTGAGGGGCAAAAGGTAGGGGCCCGGGGCTGTTAGGAACGGTGGGAGTTGAAGTCCCAAACACCTGGAGGGCCCCAAGTTGGCCCATGCCTGGCTTAGTTAGAAGTTCTCCCCAAAGTGATTGAGTTTTTGACTTGAGGTGGTTACTTTTGGTTGGGTTGTTTCTTCACCTTCCAAACTTCTAAGGAGGTCCCAAAAGGCCATCTGATTTGTGGATGGAAAGAAAGGAAACTCCTCTGAGTAGAAGCACTGTGTAGAGACCACAAAATGCGACCTTTATGGGTGTGTATATATGTGTGTGTGTTTAAAGGGCCTCTGATAAGGTGAGATTTCAAGGTTTATGTATCAGCTTTTTCTCCATCACACTAGAGAATGAATCCACTTAAAATCCGCTTTCTGCCTCCTGCAGAATTCTGGGGTTTGTAGTTTACTGAGGCTGTTCAAAGCTCTTTCCTAAACTACAACCCCCAGGATTCAGCAGGAGGCAGAAAGCAGATTGAAAGTGGATTTATTCCCTAGTGTGAGGAGGTCCTCTTCAGCGACATCACTTCTTTTCGTTCTTTCAAAACAAAACCATCTTGTTGTGAGTTTTCCAGGCTATATGACCATGCTCCAGAAGCATTCTCTCAACTCTTGACCTTTCCTGTCCAGGGTGGGACATTCCACAGATACACACACACACCCAATTTTCCTAGTTGCCAACAGACCTCACAACCTCTGAGGATGCCTGCCATAGATGCAGGCGAACCGTCAGGAGAGGATGCTTCTGGAACATGGCCATACACCCTGGAAAACTCACAGCAATCCTTTTGCTGTTTCTTTCTTTTGAAATAAAGCCTAAGCAGTTGTGATTCCCACCCATCTACTAACCTGGCTTGGTAGGGATCATTTGGCAGGGTTCTAACAAACTCACAACAACCCAGTGATTCTGGCCATGAAAGCCTTCGACAAGACATTAAAACAAACTTAAGTTTGAAAAAGGGACTTCTTTTTGGAGATGGAGAGGAGAAAAAAAGTTTCCACTTCATCACACTAGAGAAAAAATTCACTTAAAATCCGGTTCCTGCCTCCTGCAGAATTCTGGGCTTTGTAGTTTAGTGAGGCTGTTAAAGGGTCCTCACTAAACTACAAACTCCAGCATTCTGCAGGAGGTAGCAACCGGATTTAAGTGGATTTTTTCCTCTAGTGTGATGAAAGAACAAGGGTTGTTTTTTGGAGAAGAAAGGAGCTTGCTTTTTGAATTTGGAGGGGAGAAAGAAAAGGGTCAAAGGGAGGGAGAGATAACAGGAGGGCAAGAAGGTGGCGAGTGGAAACATTTGGGAAGAAAGGGGGGGAAAAGTTGCCTGGCTCCCTCCAGGCTGGCTTCCTTCCTCCCTTCTCCCGACTTCATTGTGGAGACAAAAAGAGAGGCAGGCGCCTGCTTATTGGGAAAGAGGGGGAGGAAAGCCAGGGGATGATGATTCCCTGCCCTTTTTCCTTGGCCATTTTGGAAGGAGGTGACTCTGTCTTGGGAAAGGCGAGTCTTGGCGGCGCTTCAAAGGAGGAGCCCCTTGGAAGGAGGCAGGCTGGGGCCTCCTTCGCCAGGGCTCCTGTGCTCTTTGGTGGTTGCTCTGGCTGTTTTGGAGGCAAGTGGAGCTGGAATGGGGGGAAGGTTGAAAAGCAGCGAGGGGGAATTGGTCTTAGAGAGGGAGGGAGCTTTGTTTACCCCCTCTCTTCCCCTCCTTTCCTGTGTGTCAGTGTTTAAATACCTCATAAAACTAGAGAAAAAATCCACTTTAAATCCGGTTGCTGCCTCCTGCAGAATTCTGGGGTTTGTAGTTTGTAGGGAAGAGTTGTGAACATCTTCACTAAACTACAAACCCCAGAATTCTGCAGGAGCAGAAACCAGATTTTAAGTGGATTTATTCTCTAGTGTGATGAAGTAGCTAAGTCCCATTCCCTGCGAGTTACCTGGCTGGCCTAAAGCCCAAAGAAAAGGAGCCCTGGAGGGATGAGGACACGTCCAGCCTGGGTTCAACAAGCCATGTGATTGTTTAGAGAAGCCTGACTTGGGACGGCGGCTGGCTCTGGGCTCCCTTCTGACCTTGCGCCGTTGCTCGCCGCTGAACCCTTGCCAAGTCCCGGCCGCTTCTCTCCCTCTTTCTCGCTCTGCCTTCCTAACAGCTTCAAGATTTATGGGAATCGTTTGGGGAGAGGGGAGGGGGAGGGAGCGTGTGGAGGCTCAGGGGAGAGACTTTGAACAGTCCTTGGCAAAAAAAGCAGAAAGTTTTATGTCCCGCTGCGGACTCTCCTCTCAAGCCGGCGAGAGAAAAACCAACTTGCCTCAGAGAGAGAGAGGGAGAGAGAGAGACCAACTCCAAACTCCTCTCCTCACCGCCCTCTCAAGCCATGAAATGAAACAGGGAGCGGAGGAGGGCTTCTTCCCTCTTTGATCCTCGTGTTGGAAGAGTCTGTGGCCAATGTCCCTTCTCTTCTGTTTATTTCCACATCCTTTTTTTTTTGTCTCTTAACACTTTTCACCCTGACCGAAATTTCCCCACGAATGTCAGGAAAATGATGGGGGTCATAATCTTCTCTTCCCGTTATTTGAGTCATATTTTACTTTATCACAGGCCTGGGCAAGCTTAAGTGGCTGAAGGGGATAAGGAAGGGGCTTGAGGTTGTTAGGAATTGTGGGAGTTGAAGTCCAAATCACCTGGAGAGCCCAAGTTTGCTCATGCCTGGCTTAATTAGAAGTTGTCTCTCCCCAAAGTCATTGAAATGTTGGCTTAAGATGGTTACTTTTGGTTAGGTTGCTTCTTCATCTCCTTCCAAACTTCTGAGGAGCCCCAAAAGGCCATCTAATTTGGAATTATGGGAGCTGAAGTCCAAAACACCTGGAGGAAGGGCCCAAGTTGGCTCATGCCTGCTTTATCACATGTATCCATGCATTGCTTCAGGTCACTTCTTGACTTATGGCAAGGACTTTTGGTATTGCTTTCTTTTGAAATAAAGCCTAAGCTGTTGTCATTCCCCATCCATGTACTAACCTGGCTTTGATCCCTCATGGCTTTAATAATTTGGCAGTGATCTACCAGAGTTTCCTTTAATTAAAAAAAAGAATAAATTGTGTTAATTTGCTTGTTTAGAGGAGTAATAAGAGAAATCTGTCCTAGCTGAGCAATAGCAAGCCAGCACTCCAGAGCAGAGAGAGCCTGTTAATCAGTTGCATGGGTTGCTGTGAGTTTTGAGGGCCGTATGGCCATGTTCCTGAAGCATTCCCTCCTGACATTTCACAGGCATCCTCAGAGGTTGTGAAGTCTGTTGGAAACTAGGCAAGTGAGATTAATATATTTGTGGAATGTCCAGGATGGGAAAAAGAACTCTTGTCTGCTTGACGCAAGTGTGAATGTCACAGTTGGCCACCTTGATTAGCATCGAATGGCCTTCAAAGCCTGACAGGTTGTTGCCTGGGGGATCCTTTGCTGGGAGATGTTAGCTGGCCCTGTTTGATTCTTGTCTGGAATTCCCGTTTTTTTTAGTGTTGTTCTTTCTTTACTGATTTTAGAGTTTTAAAATACTGGAACCTGTAAAATCAGGATAGTCAAGAAGAACAACACTCAAAAACGGGAATTCCAGACAAGAAACAAGTAATTACCTCCCAACAAAGGATTCCCCAGGCAGGAAGCAGTGAAGCCATGAAGCTGCAAGGCTATTCAATGCTACTCAAGGTGATCAGTTGCAGCATTCACACTTACCTCAAACAGACCAGAGATCTTCCTCTCACCCTGGACATTCCACTGATATATAAACCCCACTTGTTTATTTCTAACAAACCTCACAACCTCTGAGGATTTTTTTTTTTTTGGTTTGTGTCAGAAGTGACTTGAGAAACTGCAAGTCACTTCTGGTGTTAGAGAATTGGCCATCAGCAAGGACATTGCCCAGGGGATGCCCAGGTGGTTTTTTTTATGTTTTACCATCCTTGGGGGAGGCATCTCTCATGTCCCCACATGGGAAGCTGGAGCTAACAGAAGGAGCTCATCCATGCTTTTCCCGAATTCGAACCTACGACCTGTCGGTCTTCAGTCCTGCAGGCACAAGGGTTTTACCCACTGTGCCATCAGGTGCTCCTATCTCTTGAGGATTCCTGCCATAGATGTGGGTGAAACATCAGGAGAGAATGCTTCTGGAATATGGCCACACAGCCCAAAAATCTCACAGCAACACTTTTGCTATTGCTTTTTTCTGAAATAAAGCCTAAGCTGTTGTGATTTCCCCATCCATGTATTAGCCTGGCTTTGACCCTACTTGGCAGGGATCATTTGGCAGGGATCTGACAAAGTTTCCCTTTAATTAAAAAAGAATAAATTGTGTTAACTTGCTTGTTCAGAGGAGTAATAAGAGAAATCTGTCCCAGCAGAGCAATAGCAGGCCAACACTCCAGAGCAGAGAGGGCCTGTTAATCAGTTGCATGTTTAAAAGAACTTTTCTTCCTTTTGTTGCATGGTCTGATCCTTTTACCTCTCCCCAGGAGGTGACAGATGCCTAGATTGGCTGTTATTCAGCTCTGGGGTCCCATGGTCTTGCCATTTGTTGCTTTATCATGGGGTGGGAGATAACATTTCTGAGTCTATTTTTTAAGGGGAAACCTGCTGGCTATGAGGGAGAACTGGGATGAAAGGGTTTGTGGGTAAGATCGCAGAATCAACAAGCACTCTAGTAAGTTGCAAATACTTTGCCCTTCTGACCTGGTTTCCTCCCAAGGGGCTCCAATTTCTATTGGGGATGTGACT